ACAATGGAATTAACCGAAAATAGGGCTCAAAGTGGGCGAAATAGCCGATTTGTAAACAGCGCCGAGGTCGCTAACTTCGCGAGAGCATAATTCCGTCAGTTTTCCATCAATTTTTTTTTTTTTGGTGTCATTACAATCGGGAAAAGATTCTCTATCATTTCATAAGAAAAAATCATTTTTTTTTTTAAATTTTGCGACACCAGGAGACACCTCAGGATTGGGGGTTGCGACAGTCAAAGGGTTAATGAGGGCAAATTTCTGGGTCTGCACTGTGACAGCAACTTGAAATTCAACACCCATATCCAACACATAAAATAAAAAAAAAATATCCAAAACAGTTGGGATTCTCTCAAAGATACATTAATATGTACCACAATTAGCCCTACTCACACTATACTATTCACTTATCTATCCCTACCTCACCTATGCTGTTTGTGCCTATGGATCAACAGCAGCAACACACCTAAAGCCAATAATAACCCAACAAAAAGCTGCAGTATGAATTATCACACAATTCAGTGCTAGATAACACTCCTCCTGCTCTTCAAAGACTTAAACCTACTCACTGTACAAAACATTCACACCTACTGCTGTGCATTTTACATTTACAGAACAATAAATTCTAGTACTGTATTAACCGCAAACTAAAACACTTTGTTGATAGTTGCAACAAGACCCATAGACACAATACCAGACACAAAAATCTCTATGACATTCTTCATGTCTGGCTAAATCTCCTCAAAAACTCAATACAGTGGACCCCCGGTTAACGATTTTAATCCGTGCAAGAGGGCTCATCGTTATGCGAAATAATCGTTATGCGAATTAATTTTCCCCATAAGAAATAATGGAAATAAAATTAATCCGTGCAAGACGCCCAAAAGTATGAAAAAAAATTTTTTTTACCACATGAAATGTTAATTTTAATACACACAAACTGAAAAAGGCATGCACAATTACATGACACTTACTTTTATTGAAGATCTGGTGATGATTTGATGGGATGGGAGGAGGGGAGAGCATTATCTTCTTACTGTTTAGAAGGGAATCCCCTTCCATTAGGACTTGAGGTAGCAAGTCCTTTTCTGGGTTACTTCCCTTCTTCTTTTAATGCCACTAGACCAGCTTCAGAGTCACTGGACCTCTGTCGCACAACAAATCTGTCCATAGAGCTCGTACCTCCCGTTTCTTCAAGACTTTCCTAAAATGGGCCATAACATTGTCATTGAAATAGTCACAAGCACGGCTTGCAACAGCTGTGTCAGGGTGATTTTCATCTATAAAGGTTTGCAGTTCAAACCACTCTGCACACATTTCCTTAATCTTTGAAGTAGGCACAATGGATTCCACAACTGGCATAGGCTTCTCAGGTTAGCCCCAAACCCTTCAAATCTTTCTTAATTTCCATACTAATTCTCACCCTTTTTACCACAGGGTTGGCACTAGAAGCTTTCTTGGGGCCCATGGTCACTTATTTTCCAGAAACACCACCGAAAACACTGTAATAATACGAAATATTCCGAGTGTATGCTTGGATGTTACCGCGGAGGCTGGCTGGTAAACAATGGGACGGCCGGCACATGTGAGGGCACATTGGACGCGTCTTGGACGAAAATCGGTATGCGGGTTTTTAATCGGTATGCGGGGCAAAAATTTTGCGATAAAAGTAATCGTTATGCGGAAAAATCGCTATGCGATGCCATCGTTATGCGGGGGTCCACTGTATATATAAAAGGGTCTAAAATCTGAAACTCCCTGACCGAAATCTCTTGAACTGCAGACTCGACCACCATTTTCAAAACTACCGTTAAAAAAACCTTATCTCCCTGACACACCCCATCATCAGTCAACGATGTGAAAACAACCTTTTCTCTTTTTTATATCTTGTACACATCCAAAACAATATAGACTTACTCTCGTTATCTGTAATTCTCCCTGTTTTACACTTACACTCACCCAAATGACTGTAAACATAAAATTCCTAATTAATTTTAAGTTAGTCCTAAGTTTTCCTGAAATATTTCTGCAAATATAGGAGCTTTTATAGAAACGGTGTATCATGCCGAGATAAAACCATTCCCATTTTAATTTTTATTTTCATAAAATGCTGATGTGGGCTCCCAGCCTGGGGTGGGGGCACAGAATTAATAGGTTATTTTTTGAGTTTAATTTGTTCACCCACATTATTGTATTTGTTCACCCACAGTACTGTATTTGTTCACCCACAGTACTGTATTTGTTCACCCACAGTACTGTATTTGTTCACCCACAGTACTGTATTTGTTCACCCACAGTACTGTATTTGTTCACCCACAGTACTGTATTTGCTCATCCACAGTACTGTACTTGTTTACTCACGGTTCTGTATTTATTCACCCAGAGTACTGTATTTGGTTCAATTTGTGATTTAAAAATTAGAAATTTGACTTCTTCATCTTCAAATGTGATATTACTGTTGTAGGATTGTAACATTACCCAGATGTGTGAGGCAGAGTAGGATTGTAACATTACCCAGATGTGTGAGGCAGAGTAGGATTGTAACATTACCCAGGTGTGTGAGGCAGAGTAGGATTGTAACATTACCCAGATGTGCGAGGCAGAGTAGGATTGTAACATTACCCAGGTGTGTGAGGCAGAGTAGGATTGTAACATTACCCAGATGTGTGAGCAGAGTAGGATTGTAACATTACCCAGGTGTGTGAGGCAGAGTAGGATTGTAACATTACCCAGGTGTGTGAGGCAGAGTAGGATTGTAACATTACCCAGGTGTGTGAGGCAGAGTAGGATTGTAACATTACCCAGGTGTGTGAGGCAGAGTAGGATTGTAACATTACCCAGATGTGTGAGGCAGAGTAGGATTGTAACATTACCCAGGTGTGTGTGAGGCAGAGTAGGATTGTAACATTACCCAGATGTGTGAGGCAGAGTAGGATTGTAACATTACCCAGGTGTGTGAGGCAGAGTAGGATTGTAACATTACCCAGGTGTGTGAGGCAGAGTAGGATTGTAACATTACCCAGATGTGTGAGGCAGAGTAGGATTGTAACATTACCCAGATGTGTGAGGCAGAGTAGGATTGTAACATTACCCAGATGTGTGAGGCAGAGTAGGATTGTAACATTACCCAGGTGTGTGAGGCAGAGTAGGATTGTAACATTACCCAGATGTGTGAGGCAGAGTAGGATTGTAACATACCCAGATGTGTGAGGCAGAGTAGGATTGTAACATTACCCAGATGTGCGAGGCAGAGTAGGATTGTAACATTACCCAGGTGTGTGAGGCAGAGTAGGATTGTAACATTACCCAGATGTGTGAGGCAGAGTAGGATTGTAACATTACCCAGGTGTGTGAGGCAGAGTAGGATTGTAACATTACCCAGATGTGTGAGGCAGAGTAGGATTGTAACATTACCCAGATGTGTGAGGCAGAGTTGTGAACCCCAGGACTACCACTTTCCCTCCCTCCCTCTCCTTCCTCCCACCACCCTCTCTCCCTCCCACCACCCTCTCTCCCTCCCACTACCTTCTCTCCCTCCCACCACCACCCTCTCTCCCTCCCACCACCACCCTCTCTCCCTCCCACCACCACCCTCTTTCCTCCCACTACCCTCCCTCCACTGCCCTCCATTCATCACAACCCTAAACCACCCTTCATCCACCACCTTCCCTCCATCCACCACCTTCCCTCCACCCACCACCTCACTTCCTCTCTCCCTCCTTCCATCACCACCTTTCCTCCTCTTTTGACCTACCTGTAAGGACCTGTCTCCCTCTGTTTTGACCTACCTATGAGGGCCTGTCTCCCTCTGTTTTGACCTACCTATGAGGACCTGTCTCCCTCTGTTTTGACCTACCTATGAGGACCTGTCTCCCTCTCCTTTAACCTACCTGTGAGGATCTGTCTCCCTCTCTGTTAACCTACCTTTGAGGACTTGTCTCCCTCTCTGTTATCCTACCTTTGAGGACCTGTCTCCCTTTGTTTTGACCTACCTATGAGGACCTGTCTCCCTCTGTTTTGACCTACCTATGAGGACCTGTCTCCCTCTCTTTTAACCTACCTGTGAGGACCTGTCTCCCTCTCTGTTAACCTACCTTTGAGGACCTGTCTCCCTCTCTGTTATCCTACCTTTGAGGACCTGTCTCCCTCTCTGTTAACCTACCCATGAAGACCTGTCTCCCTCTGTTAATCTACCTTTGAGGACCTGTCTCCCTCTTTTTTAACCTACCTGTGAGGACCTGTCTCCCTCTCTCTTAACCTACCTGTGAGGACCTGTCTCCCTCTCTTAACCTACCTGTGAGGACCTGTCTCCCTCCCTTAACCTGCCTGTGATGACCTGTCTCACTCTCTTAACCTACAGACCTGTGAGGACCTGGCTCCCTCTCTTTTAACCTACCTGTGAGGACCTGTCTCCTTCTCTCTTAACCTACCTGTGAGGACCTGTCTCACTCTCTTAACCTACCTGTGAGGACCTGGCTCCCTCTCTTTTATCCTTCCTGTGAGGACCTGTCTCCTCTCTTCACCTGCCTGTGAGGTCCTGTCTCCTCTCTTCACCTGCCTGTGAGGTCCTGTCTCCCTGATGCTAAACTACTAACTGTAAACCGACATTAAGTTTCACTGGAAATAATGTGTTTTGCTTGTAAAATTTCCTACTCCTAAATTTCTCTGTTTTCTCATTTCTTTTATCTGACTAATGAATAAAGAGACTGGAACAATAATCATATATCACATATAGCTAATTATTGCTAGAAGAGTTGTTACCACAGTGAAACCTAGCACCCTAGATTGAAGAACCCTAAATAGATGGACCTAGATAGAAGGGCACAGCTCTTCTAGTACCTTAGGAGGTACTAGTAGTTAGTACCTTAGCAGTCAGGGACTACCTATCAAGTAGTCTTGTAGCTAGTACCTTAGCAGTTAGGGAGGGCCTAGCTAGTAGTCTCGTAGCAGCTCTAAGGATTACCCACCAGTGCTGTCACATACAAGATGACTTCCCTTTTCAGATGAACTGGACAGCTACATGTATCAGAGCGTGGGCCACATGGGGGTTGCATTTTACGCAGAAGCAGTGGGAGTACCACTGTACCGGAGAGTGATCCAGGGCACTTCTCTCAACACTGCCACTATTACTTATAAACCTACTGAAGGGGATGAAGTTGAAGATCTATTTCTTCTGCTTAAGGAAGTTAAGGTAGTCTAACCTTGAAGTTTATCAGTTGATGACTTGTAGACAATTCTAAGCAATCTCTGCCTCCTGGCCTAGCCCCAGATGAGGCTGGTTAATGGCCTGATCACTCAGGCTGATGGTGTTGGCCCCATATAGTTCAACATAGGCACCACAGCCTGGCTGATCAATAAATAACTTAACCCTTTCGGGTTTTTTGATGTACTAGTATGTCTTACGCGCCAGGGTTGGTGACATACTAGTACACTTAAATTCTAGTGCCCTCAGATCAAGCGGGAAAAAACTGGTAGGCCTAGATGTGAAAGAATGGATCTGCATGATCAGCGTGCACAATTTAAAAAAATCCAGCAGCACAGTGCATAATGAGAAAAAAAAAACTCCAACTGTGATTTTGCTTTAAAACAGCGACTTTGCAGTCTATTTTCGTATGGTATTTATGATTGTATTCTTGTTTTCTTGGTCTCATTTGATAGAATGGATGATATTTTACAGAAATAGAGATAATTTTGATTGGTTTCCTGATGACAGGTACCTTGAAATTGAGCGCAAAGTATCGAAAATGTTCAATTTTTACCAACGTTCGAGAGTAAACAAATCACACCCTGCGTCCAATACATGTCAACTGGTGAGTCTAATATTCTTGCACAAGTGCACTGATATTGTTTATACCATTTTTACAATGATGCAGTAGTATATTTTTTGTGAAAATAAAAATTCAAAATGGAAAGCAAAAGTAATGTAGGAGGGGCCTATAGACATGACTAATGAGCAGATAAAATGTTATTTTAGTGCCAGGAATGTCTGTCTTGTTTATTCTGGATCCTATTTTGAAATTGGCATCTTTCGAAATTTGTGTGAAATTGGCCAAATTGCCAATTTCTGACCACTTTATTGGGTAGTTGAAATTGGTAAATAGGCAGTTTCTTGTACTCAGTTGATAGAACAAATACAATTCTAGTAAAATAGTTATGATTTTTAGTAGACTGAAACATTATAATTGGCTGAAAATAGGGCTCAAAGTGGGCGAAATAACTGATGCGTAAATATCGTTAATAAAGCTAACTTCGCGAGAGCATAAAATTTCATACTTTTGGTGTCATTATGATCAGAAAAAGTCTCTCTATCATTTCATAAGAAAAAAACAATTTTTTTTTTTCAAATATTTTTCGACCATGAGTAGGAGTTAAGGATTGAGGGTCTTGACCCTGAAAGAGTTAAGGAACCTATTTGTAAAGTAAAAGGACACAAGTGCAACTAATGTGACATTTATTGTGGCAACGTTTAATTGCTCTACCATATTGTATTACTTTTGTCACTACTACTACTACTACTACTACCACTAGTGAACATCGAAATGGTACCTCACTAGTATTGCACCTCACTCTGAGCCTTTATATACCCTCTGTGTCCATGTATTGTTTGTAATGGCTTGATAAAGCTCCTGGAGAGCGAAACGTTGCCACAATAAATGTCACATTAGTTGCACTTGTGTCCTTTTACTTTACATATTGTCGGTAATTCTACCAACTTTATTACAGGAACCTATTTGTAGATAGCCAGGTAACTACTGATAATTCCTCATTTGGATCATTTTACACTAAAGTCATCTCTTAGTGTACTTATTGCACCCTTGCTTTTTACTCAGGGGATGATCATTTGCTTGTTTTCCAAGCTTTTGTAGGGAGTTATTTAAGTCTGCAGAATTGTTTTATTTGGGGCCATCAAGGGTATAATTGACCCTTTCAGGGTCGAGACCCCCAATCCTGAATTCGTTCTCAGGGTCGAAAAATTAAAAAAAAAATATTTTTTTCTTAGGAAATGATAATCTTTTTCTGATGGTAATGACACTAAGAGTATGAAATTTGATGGAAAATTTAGGGAATTATGCTCTCGTGAAGTTAGCAGTCTGTATGATATTTATGCATCGGCGATTTCACCCACTTTAAGCCCTATTTTTGGCCAATTCCAATGCTCCAGTCGATTAAAACCATAGCTGTTTTGATAGAACTCACTTGTTCTATCAAATGAGTACAAGAAACTGCCCATTTACCAATTTCAACTTCCCAATGAAGTGGTCAAAAATTGGCAATTTGGCCAATTTCACACAAATTTCAAAAGATGCCAATTTCAAAATAGGGTCCAGAATTAACAAGACAGGCATTCCTGGCACTAAAATAACATTTTCTTTGTTCATTAGTCATGTCTCCAGACCCCTCTTATATTGCTCTAGCTTTCCACATTGAATTTTTATTCTCACAAAAAATAGAAGATTTACTGTTATGCAGACTACTGCATTATTGTAAAAATGGTATAAATAATATCATCGCACTTGTGAAAGAATATTAGGCTCGCCAGTTGATGTGTATTGGATGCATGGCATGATTTGTTTATTTTTGAACATCGGCAAAATAAAACACTTCCGCTACTTTGAGTTCAATTTCAAGAAACTTTATATCGTGAAACCAATCAAAATCATCTCTATTTCTATAATATATCTTCCATTCTATCAAATGAGACCAAGAAAACGAAAATACAACCATAAATACCATACGAAAATGCAATGCAAATTTGCTGTTATGAACCAAAAAACATGGACGGAATTTCTTCTTCTCATGCACTGCGTGCTGCAGGATTTTTTCAAATTGTGCACACTGACCACACAGACCCATTCTTTCATATGTAGGCCTACCAGCTTTCTTATGTTTGATATGAAGGTGCTAGAATTTACACGTACAAGTATGGCACCAACCCTGAAAGGGTTACGAAGGCTTAGGTTGAGGTGGTTTGGACATGTATAGAGGATGAAAAGGAAGCAGCTGAAAAAAGAGGTATAAATCTTGGGTGGAGGGTAAGAGGGGGAGGGGTCATTCTGGAAATAGTTGGAGGGAGGAGTAAAAAAGAGGCTTTGAGATTCAGGGACTTGAGCATCCAGAAGGATTGTCTGTGTGTTAGCAGTGAATGGAGACAAGTGATTTTTTATGGCAGTGTTTTTGGAGTGTGAGCAAAGTAATGTTTATGAAGGGATTCAGGAAAACTGGTTAGCTGGACTTGGCAGTAGGAAGTCCTGGTGGTGCCTGAACTCTGAAGGAGGTTTGAGGATGTTGCAGTCGAAGGATAATCTGATTGTGATGTCTGCACATTTCTGGTAAGACAGTAGAGTGAATTGTGGTGAATGTGTTTTCTTCTTTTGGTCGCACTGCCTTGGCAGACAGATGGTAACTAAGTTAAAAAAATGGGATTAATTCCTCTAGAACTTGCAGGTGTAAGTTATGATGTATTTTACTTGCCAATGTTCCTACCAGAGAGTATATTTCAGGCAATTTCAGTTATTCTCTGTTGTTTGATGGTCACCCATTTTGTTTATAAGAGATGTTAGAAATTGTAAATTAGAATTTTTGGAAGTAAATATTTAGTTTTGTAAAAAACAAAAAAAGAGATAATAAATAAATTCAAATTCTGAAGGTCATGAGGGAGATATTGAAGGACCACCTCTGAAGTGTGCACAACACCACTACAATTTACTGCAGTGAGAGGCAGTGAAAACTTCAGTAATACACCATGATGCAGTGAACCTCAGTGTAATACACTTCATTATTACATGCCTCAGTACATGTATAACAAACATCACTGTAATGCATCTCAGTATAACGGACCTCAAACCATGATACAGGTGGGGCTTGAACTTGCAACGAGTAGTAAAACTCCAGGCCAGTGTGTAAGCCACCCATACCGTGGTTTGTTTGCAATCATGTCATTATGATTTCGTGAGTCATAACAGACCTCAATGTAATGTGTCAGTTGACAGTTACCCAGGTGTCTCCTTGTGATTTCATAGGCCCATTGTTCCTATATCGTCTGCCTTTCGACTGGACCACTGTAGACCTAATCAGTTTTGACTCGTTAACTGTCCAAACGTAGATCTACGTTTTTACCACTAGCACTCCAAACATAGATCTACGTTATATTTTTCCCTGCCTCCAAATTTGGCACAATTGGCCTGAGATGCATGGTCAGCACAGAATGGGTTTTAACACTTGGTGTGCACAGTAGTAAATAAATCTGGGACCACTTAGTACCTTGTGGGAGCACCAGTTCAATTGAGCACCAGCTAGAGCAAACAGCATGGCAAACACCAGGGATTCACTTATGTCATGTTGTATTAACACTCCCCTTTTAAGAGGAAAGTAATGTTGACCCCAAGTTTAGTGACTTTGAGATAGCTGTAGCCACAAGTGGTCACAGAAATAAAAAAATCTTGTTAATAACCCATGTGCAACATTTGTGCAACACCCTTTCAGTTTTGGTACCACTGGTAGTGTCATCCTGCCAGAATGTCCTATAACCTATACCCTAAGTAAAAAGAAACAATTCTGTAATGTGTAATACGTGTTCAGCAGGCTGGCTGGCCTCCTGGCTGGCTGGTGGCTGGCTGGCCAACTGGCTGGCTAGCTGGCTGGCTGAATGTCTGTGTCTATCTTGCTGGTACACATACATAAATACAGTGGACCCCTGCATAACGATGGCATCACATAGCGATTATTTCGCATACCGCTTACTTTAATCGCAAAATTTTTGCCACGCATACCGATTAAAAACCCGCTCACCGATTTTCGTCCGAGACGCGTCCAATGTGCGCCCTCAGCCAGCCTCACATGTGCCGCCCGTGCCATTGTTTACCAGCCAGCCTCCGCGGTAACATCCAAGCATACACTCGGAATATTTCGTATTATTACAGTGTTTTCGGTGCTGTTTCTGGAAAATAAGTGACCATGGGCCCCAAGAAAGCTTCTAGTGCCAACCGTACACCAATAAGGGTAAGAATTCCCATTGAAATGAAGAAAGAGATCATTGATAAGTATGAAAGTGGAGTGCGTATTGCCGACCTAGTCAAGTTGTACAAGAAACCCAATCAACCATCGCTACTATTGTGGGCACCAAAAAGACAATCAAGGAAGCTGTTCTTGCCAAAGGTTTAACTGTGTTTTCGAAACAAAGATCGCAAGTGA